GTTAAAAAGACTATCCGGGCACTATCTTACATTTAATATAGACTAAATTAATCAAACGAGACTTAATAGGTGTAGATGGATATATAAAGTTTTTTAATTATCTTTTTTATTGGTCCTGTTACTTTTGCTAGAGTGCGTGTGTGTATTAAATTCTATAAGCACTTACATACGAAATGAGAGTCTCTCCAATAAGTATGTTCCAGTAAATCCAATCGACCTTCGAATCTCTTTACCAAATCCTTTCGCTTGAAGTTGAAATGAGCTCAGCAATTATAAATCAGAAGATTCTTTGAAGTTCAACTTTTCCTTGCATTTACCATCCTTAATAGCGCTTCTCCTGTGGATGTCTTCTGCCTTCATCAACGAAAATCGAAAGTTTTTGATTCTAACTCGTTGTTATCTGGCGAAACACTATTGTAAAGTGTAGTTGTTATCTATTGCAGCTTCAGGAAGTTCTTACAATTAAGATTGTCGGACAATCATTGTCAATATATGAATTGTGTTTACTCTATTTTGTTTAAGGTAATGAAGGACTGGTAGTTGATTTTTCCCGCAAGGATATGAGTAGAGCTGATAGTTCCTAATGAATTTCACATAGCCCTGCTTTTTAAAAGGTGTTCTCATCCAGAGTGGACTGCAGTTTCGACCTCGCATAGGCCTTATCAACACCCCAAGCAGGAGTCGAAACATGACAATGCAGCGTGTAAACTCGACACGCTAACCACTACTCATTTACAAAAAAAATGATTGTCAATGATTACAGTAGCCCTGCGAATGACATCTGAAACGGGTGGTGAAGGTAATTATGGATGTAGTCTGACCTAGTTTTCGCAACTTAGTCATGGTTCTAGGGAGAATTAGTTTGACGCACCTTATCCGAACTCCTCTGAAATAGTAGCTATCATATTTCCAAGCGTCTTACCTTGGACTTGGGACATTATCAAACGTCTCACCGGTATCGTAAGTAAGTCTTGCTATTCTCAGCAAAAAGTTACAATTCATCACAGAGACAAATCAGGACGAGTTTTAATTTGTGCTGACAAGACTAACTGACAATTTCGGCGAGACGTCTGAGAATTCCCCAAATCCACGGTCCGACGCTTGGAAATATAATAGCAGAGGACTTCGGACAAGGTGCGTCCAACTAAGTCTCCCTGACACCATGACCAATTTGCGAAAACGAGATCTAACTACATCTACACATCGAAAGGAGATTGCGACTAATAAGAGGCTACAGCATCTTGGCCTTGATTATGCTTCCCTAAATCCACTTGAAACGGCATGATTAACTAAAAAACTCATCAAAACCCCACTTTTCTTCGCACTTACATCACTCGCCTCTTTGATGAGTTGGTGCCTCGTGGTGAGAATGGCAAGACTCACTGACGCTTTCAGCGAAACGTCTGAAAATATACCTAGTCCACAGTCCAATAATGGGAATTATCATAGCCACTATAACAGAATTTTGGTTAATATACATCCAACGAGATCACACTTAAAGCACAATCAAGTTGTGAAAATGAGTTCATATCCCTTACAAGCAGTGAAATGAGGTCACAACATTTCGATCTACATATTTACAGACTTTATTGGCTTGACGACGAAGGTGATGTTGCCGCTATTTTGGTCCGACCTCGATTTCACATGACCTTGTTGTCAAGGCGACGTCAGAGAGGGTTAATTGTCTAGTATTCTTTGCCATAGTAGTTATGATAGTTTCCAGCGTGGAATTGGAGATTTAATGCATTTCTAGGCGGCCCACTGGGTTATTAAATTGCCCCAATTAAATCAAAATGAATTCCTTTGCTGATTGCTGCTACCCTTTGCTAGCCTTACTCTCCGAAGCTGCTGGCCCTTCAAGTGGACTGACCAGCAGTTTTCCGCTGACGCCCGGTAAAATACAGTCCGGATCGCATGGCGCCCCATCTACGAGTTGCTATAAGTCGTTTTCGTCGCCCTCGAGAGTGATGACTTTCGCCAAACGACCAGTCGAGCGTATCTCCTCTCTACCGACATCCGCCACCACGTCTCTGGCCAACTCGGGCGCCCCGGCGGGCATGGCAGAAGTGGTCACCGGAGGACAGACTCGATTCGAGGAGCCATCTGCGTCGTATTTGTCGCTAGCGGGAGGCCCGGCGAACGGGACTCGCAAGAGATTGAGCGAGGCCGTGGGCGAAATGGATCTGTCCGGACAGTGCCTGGATGCGGCTGGGCTCTCGGTCTGTCAGGTGGGCATGGGTGGAGGCATCAGTGGAAGGACGAACTTCACGAACAAACAGCTGACGGAGCTGGAGAAGGAGTTCCACTACAACCGCTACTTGACGCGTGCCAGGCGTATCGAGATCGCGGCAGATCTGGGCCTTTCGGAGACGCAGGTGAAGATATGGTTCCAGAATCGCCGAATGAAGCAGAAGAAGCGTATGAAAAATACAGGGTCAGCATTGGTCAACCCGCCCCTCAGGCAATGCGGTGACGGAGGCCGCCAAGGAGAGGGTACGGGTGAGCTGGAGACAAAAATGGAGTTCGACTCAAATCTATTCGCACAGTTGCCCTGTCCCCCTCGGCAACCACTTTCCGGAGCCACTTCGACTTCGCATCTGCCAATGGCCACACCCCTTCCCAACAGAGACCGGTGTCCTGGATACAGCGGGGCGAGCCTTCCGTTTCCCGACCCTTTTCAGCGGTTCCAGGAGGAGTCGTACCAGAGCGCTCAGTTGCCCTCTAGCCCAAGCGCCGGCGTCAGCTGTCCTTTCTTGCAGTTCGAGCTCCGGCCATACTCGATGGTCTAGTTTGCCCATCGAGTTATCCACTTGTCTATATCACACATATAGGTTCAAATAGTGCTTTACTGAACGGTTATCCTCTATTTAAATACACCATTCCCAAGAGTGATCTTCCATTTTTGCCTCGCTTTCGTTGCCTATCACTTGTTAACACAAAACTATCAAATCTCTTATGAATGCCATTTTACTTTTTACCCATCAAGCATTCTGCACGCATGTACAATGTCATTTAACCCATGTCTTGTGCCCTACACAGAAGTTGAAACATAAAAAATGAAGGAAAACCTTCATGGACAGTCAACACAAAATACATTTTAGGACACTTAACTCGATGGCTACCCGAAAAGATATTAATTTCTTATCTCTTCTCGGTTATCCAGCAAAGTTGCCAATCATATTATTTAATCATTTCGAAATGATTCTAACTACAGACAACTTGTTGGTGAGCTCCTTCATAGTTATGCATTCCTGTTGCCTAATATGAAAAATAAACTGCTGTGATAAGCAATGTGAATGCTACCGAAGCTGAAAGAAAAGCAATATTCATCGAAGGCACCCACAAACACAAAAACGTGAACTATTAAAGTCAGCCTACACGTGTGTACGCATTGCACGAAAAGGCAGCTATCTTTAAGATAAGTTCATCGCAAAATATAACAATTGTCCTGAGGACCAAAATATTCGTTTCACTTACAGAAGAGACTAGGCAGATATTTGTGAATATTTGCTTTCATAGCGTGCGTAGCACAGCGAAAAGAAGAATAAATAACCCATGGGAAGTAAGAAAACTATAATCATCTGAAGCTCAGGCGGCAAAATAAAATTTACCACTGTCATTTGCAATTCTGATGCATCGCATGGCGACGCAGTTACTTTTCAAAAGTGTGGCACGACAAATAAAAGGACATTATTGGCTCTGATCTACACCCCAACAATTGGTTGAGATTAAGTCAGTTAATTAAAATAAACACCAATGAATACAGCTTGGCAACTCGTTTGAAGGAAGTCTAATGTAATGATCCTCTGCTTGCCACATTCAAACCGTATATTATAGTGGACAAACCAAAACAAACTTCGATAACTCCGTATTTCTTACAAAAGCTACACTGGATCAAGCTTGCTTCAGCTATGTGAGGACCAGAACTTAAGTGTGATAGAAGAATCAAGGCCACATCTATATTTAACACCAACGTGAAACAAGAAGAATAGAA